AGTAGCAGCTGCCTTCTCTGTGCAGAAAGCCCAGGCCACATCCACAGTGAGAGAGTCAAGTGGCAGCAGCCTATGGCACAGGCTCCCTGGGAGCCATCCCTGAGGTTCTGTTTTCTCCCCACCCCGCTTTCCAGATACACTACTGGGTGCAAAGCTACACCTACTAAGAAAAAAAACTCCCAGGGGAGAAGGCGCACCTTTCCATTCACTGCTCCCCCCCTGGCCCCACAGATACACCGCTGGTTGTGGGGTTGCACTGCCCCTGCCATGGTAAAGCCGCCTTGTTGAGTGTAGGATTCTGGTACTCACTCCTAGTCAGCACCCAGGGCTGGGGCCCTACTGGTCCTACCCTAATTATGTTACTACCGTGATTCTTACTATAGTTCTTAATTACTTCTCTTTAAAGTTCTTGAGTGGAAGTGCACAGTGTGTCCTGATTCTGCTCAGGAATCACTTTGCACTGCTCCCAAGCGGATAGACATATGCTGAAAGTTGCAGTCCTCAGAAAACAGAATAGTGGTTGCTTGCCTTACGTGCTGCCTCTAGCAGGTCTGGCTTTCTGTAGGAAGGGCATTTGCCCAATTCTAGAGGAAGGCAAAAAATGTCAATTTTGCCAAAAACATGTCCAAGTCATTTTATGACAGAGGCAAAGATTTTTTGAGGTGGGGGAGGTGAAACCTTTTATCAGACCAACTGCAGGGCTGGGATGAAGTTAGAAAAGCTGTTGAATGCAAGGCAGTCTTCATCAGGTTGAAAAGAGGCCTTTTGGGAAAGTCCCTATCAGCATTTTTTATTTCCAGTTTTTTAAGTTTGTTATGCACTAGAATCCCTACTTACAGCAAACAAAAATGTTGATATGTGTTTCAGTAATGATCTGAATTTACTTTTAAATATTAAACTATTAATTGAAAAAATGCAGAAATAGTGAAAAACAGACCAAATCTGTTAGCATCAACTCTTTCCTGATAAATACATTTAGTAAAAATAGCATTTGCAACAAAAGTTTCTTATTTACGAATTCACTGGTTCTACCATACATAAACTATGTGTATACATATACTATACATATAATGGTACAGTTTGTCACATCTGCAGTTAAACAAGCGGATCTTGGATTGGCCTCCTTAGTTATTTATGGACTCACCAATGACTTCCCTATTTATTGGAAGACTGTCATCCTTGTATTGAGGGACTGCTGCTAACATAAACTATCATGGTTGCTAGCTCAGATATGGAAGAACCACTAGCTCCAAATACACTGGTCCTTACATTTGATCTTAAGGAAACTCCTCTAAGCTGCAGCACTACAAGGTTTGTATATTTTTGGGGTTTTCCCAGCAGAAGGCAATAATGCACATAAGGATGTCTGATAAAGGTAAAACCAGGCACACTAGCCTCTTTGGAACATGCTTCCCATTTTGAGGAGCACAGTTCTTTTAAAGGAGCTAAAATATCTTTGGGGTTGAATTCCTGCCAGTTTCTGGCAAGGGCAGCTCTCCATCCTTTGTCAGCATCACTACCACCAGACACGCACACACCAAGGTTGTGGACAGATTTAACATTTATACCAGTGTGGAATGATACTAATATGAACTATTATGATGTAACTGTTACGTCTGCCTGCCCCTAAGTCATCTTTTATTCAGGGTTAAAGTTGCAGAGATGTAGGTCACTTAGATGACTTTGGAATCATACATGTGTCACAGTTGCATCATAATTGCTGATGCACTATCCTATGTGTCAGCTCCTCATCCTATCCCCTTTTTAAAGCAGTTGAAAATGGGCTGTCCACTGCCTGAGATGCTAAGGCCAGAACTAGAATAGCAGGAGTATTAGCACCCTAGCATACACCAGTCTCTCACTGCACGGGATAAATCCTTGAGTGTGAACAGTGAAAACTGGGTGGTGACAGTGGCTGACAGCAATTTTCATCCAAAGCCCTCTGCCACCTTAATATGCAGCAGGTGCGTTACTAACCATTAAATACAGCCACCTCTGGGGTGGATGGTAAACCTGCTTAACATACAATGCAACAGCTCTTGAGAGGATGTGAAGCTGGGAAGAATAGACCAGTGTTAAGTAGATTCATCCATGTTAGGATCTGGAAGGGACCGCACAAGATCATCAGGTCCAGCCCCCCTGCACTTGGTCAGGAAAGACTCAAACTCATGTTTCATTCCACCCAGGGGTGGCAGCATTTCACCAGTATGTGTGTAGCTAACAGGTGTGACATGGCTTGGAAGCCCAGGAAGTGCTTTGGGGCACAACATACAAAGGAGCAAACTGACATATGACTCTATTTATTTATTTATTTTTTCTGTTAGAGCAGTAGACTTTTCCCAAACTATTTCTCCAGCCAAGCAGGTTCCTCTCTCAGTGCATTCTTCACTTTCAGTTTTCATAGTGCTTTACAAGCAAATTCCCTTGTAGAGCCGCTCAGTGTCATTTTCTCAATCTTACAGGTAGAGAGATTGATCACCTGTGACTGTGTGCACAGCTGGGAATAGAACACAGCCATTGCTTGCTCCCAGGCCAGTGCTCAGCTCAATATGCCATGCTGTCTCCCTCTGTCTGGGGGAAGTGTTTGTGTAGCTGTGCCAAACTCTTTGTACCATTTCTCTGAAGAGGCTGAAAGCTGATTCCAGCTGAGAATTGTGCAGGTGGAAGAGCCCTTACACCAGGGGTGGGCAAAATGCAGCCCGGGGGGGGATGCGGCCCACCAGACCATTCTATCTGGCACACGGGGCCCCCCCAAAGTTAAGAAAATTAATATTTATCTGCCCCTGCCTGCCTGTCATTCGGCCCTCAATGGCTTGCCAAAACTCAGTAAGCGGCCCTCCACCCGAAATAATTGCCCATCCCTGCCACATCCCTGCCCATCCCTGCCACACTCTGGTGGCATTACCTCTGGCCTCTGCTCTTGCTGTCTTTGAGCTTGACAGTTTTCCAGCTGTTTTATAACATACACCAAGAGGGTAGGACAGGAGAGTTCCGCTCTTTGCTTCCCCTCTCATGTGCTGTGCCCTCACTAGCCCGGTAGCCAGCTGCCTTCCTGCAGCAGAAGTGACTAAACAGCTTAATCACATGAATTTGATGAATGACTGCAGCCAGCAGGAAAAATTAAGGGGTGTGGAGAGACTGGGGGAGGGAGGGGTGGTCTATGAGACCCCCATAACACAGGCAAAGCTACTGGTTTTTGCTGGCAGAAGAAGCTGTGGGAGGATGTTTGCTGCAACTCAGGGGTCCTGGTGTAGCCTTTGTTCCCTGGAACAAAATTAAGCTCAGAGATTTGTTAAGATTAGAGATTTGTGATTGAAAAGACCTCGAGACAGCCAGTCCATCCCAGCCCCCACTTTGTCAGCCAGCACCGGATCAATCATTCCCAGCATCCAAAGAGGGCGCAGAAGGGAGGAGAGATGTAAAGTGGAGGAAGGATGCCAGTTGTTCATGCATCAATATGCATGCACACACACTGGAGTGGGCTGTGCACTGAGGGCATCTTTCCTCTTGTGTCTGCAGAGATTTCCAACTGCAGCTGCTGTGTCACGGAGTTTCCCAGCTCAGAGGCCGGGGAAGTGCATCAGGACGTGGTAGAGGGGTGGACTTGCAAAACCTTTTGCTGTGCAGGGTAGTCCTTCACTCAGCCAAGCAGAAGCTGCTGCGTCTGCCCTTGGAATAGCTCTGCTGTTTGCCTGTAGCGTGACCCCTTCCAGCCCTGGATCCAGCTTCTGTCTCCATAGGTATGTGATAGTTACAGGAGGCTTTGGTCTGTGTGTGGTTTGTGGGTTCAAGCAGGCAGTTCTCTTTTCCATGTTAACACAACTGAATCAGGGTTTCCAAAGCATACTCTGGTCAGCCTGTCTTGTTAGCAGAAAAAGGTACTTGGGCCTCTTCAAATGAAGGTGCGCATGTATGAGGGTGAAAGGGGGTGGGGGTGGTGAAGCAACTTTTAATTTTGAGACTGCAACAGCCTTTTAATATGTGGTTTGTGTCAGGATTCCAATTAGTGGGTGTCAGCTTGGAGCTGTCAGCATGTTCAGTACAGAGCCCTGTAAGATTCCCAGGTACTTTTCATCTCAAGGCATTGGGTCAGTTCCAACAGTCCATGGCCCACAGTAGCTTATAGCAGGAAAGCAGGCAGTAGCTGCCTTTCTCCCTGCACTCCCCCTCTCCACCTGGTTGAGCTGCTGAATGAAAGGCTGGGGGTAGAGACTGAGGGTAGTTGGGGACATCTGAGGTTGGGCACAAAGTGGGGCTGATATAGGACATGGAGGAAAGAGATTCTTTCTGCAGACTGATGGTTGTGGAGAGCACCTGTTTGTGATGTTCCATTGAGATCCTGAGCATTAGGCCAGTTGTGCTGTTGTGGCCTGAGGTGGGGCAGGGTTCTTCTCAGCTCTGACAAGACCTTTTCTACCATAAAGCAGGAGACTTGGCTACCCTCCTGTTCATAACTGGCCCACAGGAAACCTAATGAGGCAGCTTGGGTCACCAGTGATTGGGCTGCATCCTCTGGGCCTTTCCTCTCTCACATTTCATTCCTCCTCTTTCTACTTTGCAAATCAGACCTGAGCCCTCTTTCTCCCCTCCATGCTGTTTGCAGACTGACCTAGCTCTCCTTTGTTATTTCTTTTCTGGAGATCAACCCCTTTCACTCTGTTGCTTTCATTTCCAGGGATAAACAGGGGTTTCTCGTGCTGACGTGACTTTTTGTGTACTCTCTAAGGAGTGAGGTCTTCAGCACCTTTTTGGGAGGCACTTGAAAAACAACATATATTTTGCTTGTTGCTGGTTCCTAGATTACCCAGACCTTTTAAAACAATCCAGCATCTTCCTGTAGCTGCGCATTCTGTTAATTGTCTGTTCCCAGGATTGTGAGAGGCAGAGTTACCCCTTTTGCTTTCATTAAAATGGGCTTTGAATCTTGCCAAATCCCCAGCTACAGAAGAAATTGATTTCTACTCTTTATTGGCTCCAGCATTACATAGCCCTTTGCTCCCAGCCTCCTCTAGCAGGTTCTGAAGTCCTGCCTCAGACCTGCCAGATGGATGCTGCTGGTATTTTCCTTTTAATTTGCACTCAAGAAGAGCATGCATCTCCAGTGTCAGGAACTGCTCTGACTGGATGGTAGTGGAGGTTGCATGTCATCAAATCCTTATTCGCCATGTAGTTTGGATCTAAGTAGCCACATCACCCTATTCTAATGCTTATGTAAAGCACTAGAAGTGATTGGAAGCAGGAAAGAATGAAAAAGGAGAGGAAACATTTGAACACACTTATCTTCCTCCCTCCCCCTCCTCCCCTTGCATTTGTGTACTTGAGTTTCATTTGGCCAGGCCATAGTAAGTGGAAGGTGCTGCTCTCCCTTGCCTGTTTAGGGATACTATGCTGCCCCACTGCTCAAACTAGACATGTCTTGGGGTTAAATAGAGCAACTTTGGGCTCCAGAACTCCTAAACCATAACCTTCACCAGCACTACATTTTTGGGGCCAAGTTCATGTCTGTATGAGTTTGCTCCCCATCCAGAAGCTAAAATATAACACTGCTCTCTGCCGCTGGGCTTAAGAAATCTGATTCCCCTGAGTTAATAATTCCAGTCTGGGATTTCCCTGTCCCTATCCTGGATGAGCAGACCTCACTGACACGGGCTGAGCAGGTGGGGAATGCTGCTTTGTCTTGCCTTCTCCCTTTGAACCATGAACCAGGGGTCACTTTTCAGAGGAGAATGATCCAATCGGGATGTTGGGCCATGCCTTCGTCACTGATATTTTAACACCATTTCAGCCCTCCCTCTGTTACTTCCTATTTGAGTTTTCAGTGAGGCTTCCATTAGTACAGTCCTGAGACTGCAAGATGTCCTTCTACTAGACAGGCTTTGATGACATAGGAATGGACAGAATGGACACAGCTGACGAGCTCAGACTTGTACAAGTGGGCAAAGTCACCGGATGTACTCCATCTCCTGGGGCTGTTTCCTGCTCTTGTCCTTGATGTTTAGATGGTAACAATGCCCTGAAGTAACTCAATGAGCAAGGAACATGGAAAGGCCTGTTCTGAGAGGGAGAGGGATTTGCAAAGCTGGTCTTTTATGGAATGGTCTGATGCAACTTAACTTTGCGCAGAGGCTTTCATGAGGACACCTGACATGGTTGAGTGCTAAAGCATGACCAAGGGAGAATGAGGCTCAGGCTAGAGCAGGAGTGGGCAAAATATGTCCCACAGGCTGGATCTGTGCTGCCAAGCCATTCTGTTCGGCCCGTGGAGCCCCTAAAAAATTTAGAAAATATTTATCTGCTCCTGGCTGCTTGTCAAAGATGACAGGAGCCTGGGGCAGTAAGACCCAGGGGGAGCCTCAGCAAGTACCAGCAGCCCAGCCCGGTCCCACCCCCAGCCATTTCCCTGCCTGCCTGCCCACACTGCTCCAGCACCATGTGGCTCCCGGCTGCATCACCAGATTGGGGAGCATGGGGCCTGTGCTGGTACCCCGCGGCAGAGGGGAAGGTGTATGGAGAGACTCTGTGTGTGTGTGTGTGTGTGTGTGTGTGTGTGTGTGTGTGTGTGTGTGTGTGTGTATTTGTAGGGTGAGTCCCACGCACAGACCCCACCATACACATGTACCCACACCCCCTCGCACTGCCATACACACAGACCCCCATACCCACACCCCCTCACACACCTGTCAGCCTCGCCCCACACAGTCCCCCCACAAACTCCATACCTACCTACACCCCACATATCCACACGCACACCCATATGCTCCCTCACCCTACACCTATTCACCCCCCACAGGCATACCCACACCCTTCCCCACATACCCAGACACCCAAAGCCCACCACAAACCTATACCGCCCCCCGCCCACACACACACAAAATACCACGATAGGACTTCATTTTAAGCTATTATATACAATCACCTCTGTGTACATTACACAAACACATGTAAACCAGGACAAAAATATTTTTTGAAACCAAATTAATGAATGTTTTAGATGTTTGCTTTTTAGAATATAATTTGGTATTTTTCTGGTTCCAGCAGGCAAAACCCCTTGCTGAAAGGAGTACTTCCTAAGGCAAGGGAAGGGACTCCTGGTGGCAAAGGTCAGGGGTTAGAGGACAGGACTTCCAGTCACAAGATGGCGACCAGGGGGTGGGGCACCTGCTTGCCAGAACTCAGTAAGTGGCCCTTAACCCAAAATAGTTGCCTGCCCTTGGGCTAGGGGGAAAAGAGGTTTGAGATGAGCAGGGAGACGCATTGAGGCTGCTACAAGGTATGTAGCGCCTGTGTGAGCTCTGTGGGGCAGGCTCTCATTCCAGCATGAGAGAACTGTACAGAGTGACACGCAGAGCCTGGTGACAGAAGGGATGAAATGGAAAGGGGCATAGAGCAAGAGAGCTCTGGGAAGTTGTGGAAGTCAAGTGCTTGGAGCTTTTTAAGTCCAAGGAAGTCAGCTTTGAGTTGTGCCCTGAAATGATCCTGGAGCCAGCAGTGCTCTTTGAGTGGGAGGACAATCTGACTGCACTTCTGTGTATGTTTGTTGGAAAGGAGGCAGCAGCATTGCACAGGTGATGGAGTCTGGAGAGCCTGGGCTCAGAAGGCCACAGAGAAAAGAGCTGTAATAGAGCAAAGGGACTGATGGTCTGGCTGAGATTCCAGCACAGTTCAGATGATGGCATAATCGAATGCTCAGATAAAGAGAGTGCAGGGGCAGGGTAAAGGTAGATACCATCAAAGCAGTTCTTGGTGGGACAATTGCAGCTGGATTCTGGGTCTGATGGTGCATCCTGGTCAGAGGAGCCCTCCAGAGGGGAATGTCATGAAATTCCATTGAGAGGCTTGAAAATCCCAAGTCACTCAGGCATCCAGTCTCTTTTCAGGACTTGCTGGACTTGGGGAATAAGATCACAGCCCCCAGCAAGAGAATGACTAGACTTCTGTAGGCTGCCTTCTCCTTACATAATCATGCCCCCAAAGTGTGTGGGCTCTGAGATGAGAGAGGAGAGGGGCATAGATTTTATGAGGGTTTCCTGAATCCTTGGCTGGTGACATTTCTTTGATAAGAAAAATCAGGCTTCCTGCTCACGGCTGAGGCCTGATGGTATTAGAGACTGCTGCAAATCGCCTTCCTTTGAAAGAAAAGGAAAAGAAAAGCACTGAGCAATTCCCAGACAGATTCCAGTCACAGTAACCAGGGCAGGACAGAGACCCTGGGCTAGCGATCTCAAGGAGCTTGCCTTCCAGACCCTATGGTATGGGCTAAGATGGCGATGGTAGGGAGGCTTGTTAAGATCGTGAAGAGAAATACATGAGGAAGTTTCTGTTGCATCGATAACTTGGAAGCCCCTTGTTAGGGCACAGCTTCACAAAAGTTTGCGCTACTGGGCCCCCAGCTCACACTGGCTGGGTACTGCTGGGGAACAGAGAAAGTTGATGCCTCTGGAATCGTAGCCGTGACTCCCGGCCCCTCATTGGCATTGTGATGCCCTGGTCATGAAGGAAAAGGAGCAAAATTCCAAGCACTTCCCAGTGTGGTGTGAGCTAATGTTATTGGTGGCACGGGGCAGTGTGAATGTGCTTCATTGGGACTATTGCCTAATGGACAGTGCCAGCTAGTTACTTCATAGCAGCTTCTGCTCAGCACATTTCCACACTAAGGAATAGGTTTTTCCTCCTGACACTGTTTGGGTGAGCTGCAAGCTGCCAGCAGGTCTTGGCTGAAAGGAAGAAGCTGAGTTGCTGC